AAGAACGATTATACGAATCTAATTCATAAAACACAATGTATAACATTATTACATTTTTAACACTACATTTACATATATCGTATTTTATATATTTCAAGTCTTATAAGATACAGAATGACAGTTCTCTTTAGCAATGGAATCCTTTTCTACATTGTTGTTCTTAAGTTATTCTAGTTTTGAATATTTTCTATAACATTTGACCTGATCTCTGTTGTTAACATCATTGTTTTTTTAAGATTTACGTATCATATCTTTTATTTTCGGTGTGTCTTGCAAGTTTTTCGTCATTTCGATATCTATCTCTTATTTCAATTGTTTTGATATCACTTGGTGTAATATATACAGTAAGCATTCGTGTTACGTCGTTTTTCTTTTTTACAGTTGGTTTCAGATTCCTATTTATCTAATCCATTAGCAACAACATCATTTGTCATGGTGTTTACACAACTATTGGAAACACCTGAAGTACGATTATACGATTATATTTCATAAAACACAAAGAGGAGCATTATTACATTGTTAACACTATATTTACATATATAGTGATTTAAGATATTTCAGGTCTTATAAGATACAGAATGACAGTTCTCCTTAGAAATGGAATCCTTTTCTACATTGTATTTCTTAACTTATTCTTGTTTTGTATGTTTTCTATTGTTAACATTAGTGGTTTGTTTTTTTTTTCGTTTTAGTATTTATCTAATCCATTAGCAACAACATCATTTGTGATGGTGTTTGATTAACTATTGAAAACACCCAAAGAACGATTATACGAATCTAATTCTTGAAACACAATGTATGAAATTATTACATTTTTAACACTACATTTATATGTATCGTAATTTATATATTTCAATTCTTATAAGATACAGCATGTATAGTTCTCTTTAGAAATGGACGCCTTTTCTACATTGTTGTTCTTAACTTATTCTAGTTTGGAATATTTTATATAACATTTGACCTGTTGTCTATTGTTAACATTAGTGGTGTTTGTTTTTAAGAATTACAATTCATTCCGTTTTTTTCGGTATTTCATGCAAAATGTCTGCCAATAAGGGTCAATATCATTACCTCTGAACATAATAAGCATACAATGTGAAATTCGTTTACTTTGAATGACTTTTCACTTTTAACTTTCAATACTGCAGCTAAGTATCTTATTTTTTTCTTTTCAATGTTGCTTTTAATTTTCTCTATATTTCAAGTACATTTTCACGTTTTGTGTGTTTTCGCTGACTTTCACAGCCAACTTTCGTCATATCTGATTTCAGTTGTTCTTATATCATGTCGTTTAGAATATACAGTAAGCTAATGTGTTTCCTTTTTTTTCTCTTTTATTGTTTGTTTCGTTTTAGAGGAGCATTATTACATTGTTAACACTACATTTCCATATATAATGATTTAGATATTTCAGGTCTTAAAAGATACAAAATGACAGTTCTCTTTAGAAATGGAATCCTTTTCTACATTGTATTTCTTAACTTATTTTAGTTTTTAATGTTTTCTATAATATTTGACCTGATCTCTATTGTTAGTATCATTACATTTTAAACGTTACATTTATATATATCATAATTTATATATTTCATGTCTTATAAAATACAGCATGAATAGTTCTCTTTAGAAATGGACGCCTTTTCTGCATTGTTGTTCTTCACTTATTCTAGTTTGGAATATTTTCTATAATATTTGACCTGATCTCTATTGTTAGTATCATTGGTTTTTTTTAAGACTTACGTATCGTATCGTTTATTTTCGGTACGTCTTGCAAGTTTTCTATAAATAGGAGTCGATTTCATTACCTCTATAGATAGCAAGCTTGTAATGTGAAATTCGTTATCTTTGAATGAATTTTCACTTTTATATTTCAATACTGCAGCTAAGTATCAATTTTCATTTTCGAAGAGCTAAGTATCTTTTTTTTTATCTTTTCAATTTTTATTTGAATTCTCTCTATAAATCAGGTGCATTTTGAAGTTTTGTGTCTTTTCGTTTACTTTCACAGTCATATCTCATTTCAATTGTTCTTATATCATATCGTTTAGAATATACATTAAGCTAACGTTTTTCCATTGCTGTCATGTTAAACTTATATTAAAGTTTTTCTTCATTACCCATTTAAGCCGTCTCCAGCCAAAATTAAATAATTTTTCTATTTCAATCCTTATTCTTCTAAGCATAAATTATTTTTTGTTTTAGTTTTGAGTTTACTTACTGATTATAAGAGTTATTTTCTTACAAGTTACATCTTTTACATTAAGAAGCTTTTTTAAAATAGGTACGACGCTATGGTTACTAAAGCGATCATTGTGAAGTAATTTTACCATTGATCGAAACTTCGTTTCTGTTTTAAAAATATTCTTCTTTACTGTAATAAACTTGTAATAATAATCATTAAAAAGTTTTAGTTTGTTCGGGCAAACACCAAATTATCAAACTTGCTATTGTAACTTATTATTATTTATAATCATAACTGTGAAGTAATATACATAGAACATAATGTCAGATGTATACTTTATTACATTAAATATTTAATTTAATTCTACAAGTACCTAATAATTGTTGAAATATCAAACTAAAAATACTTTAATGATTAGCATCTGTTAATTTAGAAAAAAAAAAGTGTCAGTCTTGGAAATGTACAATTTCCACAAAAAAATGTTGAACATACATTTACACTCACCTTCTGTAATAAAAAGCCCCATCTAACGGCGTAAATGAAAGGTGTAATTATTTTTCTTCTGTTTACCATATGTGGATTACAGAAGGTATGTTTTTAATATGGCAAATTGCTCATGTCCTGCTATCAAAAAGTTTAGGTCAAACTTTATGAATTTTTATTTTTATTTTATTTAAAACTTTTCCTGTTTCAGCTAGTTTTAGTTTCATGTTGTATTAATTAGAAATAAATGTTTATTAATATAGATATATATATATAAGAGAAGATTTAGTAAAAATATGCCATTAATTGTTTGTTTTCTCTGTTTTTAGTGTCACAAGTAGGAGTATAAAATTCAATCCAAAATTAAAGTCTAGCGCTCCTGCGTTCGCCGATATACTGTTCCATATTATATTAACATTAAATTTAGAGTGTAATTAAACTATGAACTTACAAAAATAACCACTAAATAGTTACTGTAAAGTATTAAATATGCCATATTTGATTCTTTTTAGTGTGATGTATCGACACATATTACACAGGTGGATAATCACAGGATTTAAGAGAGAGAACTTTAATTTTGATTTGGTATCTGAGGTTGTTTTAATGCCAGATTTATAACTATGAGGACGTGTTTTAACATGCAGTCTTGCATAATTTGTTTCAGTTTTCTCCACCCAACAGCATGGTATCAGTAATATTAAAAATTGTAACAAATTATAAAATTTTCAAATAGAAGTGGTCAGCCTTTTCATATATTTCACCTGGTGTATTTTATAAAAAATCAGATTTAATGTTAGAATCTAAAGCTTTTTCTGCTATCATGTATTTTACCTTATAATAAAACTTTACTTCTTAATTTTTATTGAAATATAATGATGACCATATTTTTTGCTTTATACCAAAACATACTATCATATAAAAGACTTTTTCTAAACTTTACAAAATATTTTCTATTGTTTTAATAACATCCCGTACACTGTCAATATTGCAACCCAATAAAATACATTGCCTTCTAATGTTTGTTTATAACAAAATTGTTTTAGGAAAACAAATGTTTAAGTATTAGTTTCGGACCGGCATACGTATGGAATATTGCACAGATTGCACGATCTTTAATTTGCAAAAACAATTCACGTTTATATTATTCAGGTCATTATTGTTTGAGTGCTGATCTTGATTGTCATCTAAACAGGTTACAGTTACAAACAGGAAAAAAACTGCATGATAACTGCATGCGTGGTAAGTTAACTACTCAGTGTAATAATTTGTATTAATCAAAGCTACACTCAAGGAATGGTTTTGATAAAGTGTAGAATAAGTTGCAGGAACCAGTGAAAATGTTGTAATGTGGTTACGTTAAAATTTGGACTGCATATGAAGACACTCTATGAAGTTAAAAACTATATGGGGTAAATAAATATTAAATATGAAGCAATGATCGGTAGAAGCAGTATTTGGGATTTTCCCAACAAAGCGGAAGATTCGAATGGAAAAAGTGTTATTTTTCAAACTCTCGGGAGTGGTTTCGCATTTCAAACACTGTGTAACACGTTTTGAAATAGAATAGCTTAATCGAATGATATCGGCTAAGAAAAAGTATAAAAAAGCCCATACTTATTTATGCAATTTAGGCTTAGATTTGAGTAACGAGAAATGTACTGACATTTAATGAGGCCATGGTTAAAAAACATGAAACAATCTTAAAAGAAATGACTGTGTTACCTTTCATGAGGCCATGGTTACAAAACAAGAAGCAATCTTAAAAGAAATGACTGTGTTACCTTTTATAGCCATGGTTAAAAAACAAGAAACAATCTTAAAAGAAATGACTGTGTTACCTTTTACGGCCATGGTTAAAAAACAAGAAACAATCTTAAAAGAAATGACTGTGTTACCTTGGACAAATATTTCAAAATAAATACTTATCGACCATTTTTCAGTTCATATTTATGACAATTTTTGAATTTATTTAATGTTTAATATTTTATTTTAATTTTGCAGTAAACTTTATGTTTATTTACTAATTTTTAAAACAAGAGGAAATCCGGCATTGTTTCTTCAGATAAATGAATGTGTGATATTCATTATGTTGGTTTATGTTTTTATGATTTTTTTTTTACTTCAGAGAAATGGCTTCAGAAGGTGCAAAAAAATCCAAAAAAAGCCCCAGTTTTTGTTACAATTACCGGATTTAATTTATACTCCTTTTTTATATGTTAGTGGCTTATATAATATCATTCATTTGGTTTAAAGGTTTAAATCTGTACACAATTTCAAATCCTATTGTGTGAGTATAGTAATATGCCACGTAGAAAAAACAACAACCTTAACTCTTAAAACAGTGGACGTTCTAGGAAGTTCTTTACTTAAGTTACGAACTAAATACAAGAATATGAACACAAAGTACGTTGATTCAAGCAAATGTTTTGTAGCGCATTAACTAGAACATTGAACATCTGAAAACAAATCTTAAAGAAGAGGTGTAGGAGCTAATTCATGGAAACTTAGTAAGAGTTGAGATAAAGTCATTTCCGTAAAGAAATGTAGGTTTCTCCTATGTAAAACTTGGAAAATTTGAAAAGCTTTGTTTCGTCTTTCACTTCATCTGTAGATGCTAAGTTTTTAGATACAATTGTGATTCTTTCAATCAGTACATGTAAAACTTGGAAAGTCTAGAAATATTGGGGCTGTTGGCTTTGTTTCGTCTTTCACTTCATTTCGAGATGCTGAGTTTGTAATTACAATTGGGAGTATTTCAATCAGTGCATGTAAAACTTGGAAACTGTAGAAAGCTTGGGGCAACTCTTGCTGTTGGCTTTGTTTCGTCTTTTACTTCATCTTGAGATGTTGAGTTTGTAGTAATTATTGGGATTTTTTCAGTGGCTGCATGAGGATATGATGAATATGAAAAGGATACGTTTTTGAAAGGCGAAAAAGCATAGGAATTCCCATCAGCTAATGATGTGACCGTGGATAGGGGTGAAGAGATGGATGTTCCAAATGGGTACACATTTAAAGGCACATAGAAAGGGTTTAAGGCTGGTTGATGATAACGATAGGTTGAAGGAAAGAGCACTGAAGAGTAGGCACAAGATGCCATAAATGGCGTCCCTGAAAATTTCAACAAAGTTGATCAAACGAACACAAGTTATATCGCATCATTAAACCCACCAGTTTGCATAAGAAAAGAAGTAATAAGCCAAACAACACACGAAAAGAAAGATTTTGCCCATTAGTTTAATTCTTAAAATACAACCAGATAATCATAAAAATTACAAGCTGGAAACAAATAGTTTAACGTTTTTATAAAAATAGTATTTCTGGCGACAGCCGTCAAAACACAGATATTTATTTATTAATTTTTTGGTATATGCCGCAGATTAAATTTCAAACTCAAACTTACTTCCACCAGAGTTGTTCAACTTGTTATAAATTACAAATATCAAACGATCAGGTAGTTTCATTTAATTAAATAAATGACTAATTTTTAAATCACGAAAATTATTGAAAAAAAACTTCTTATCCTGTTAGTAAGGCACCAAAAATATTTTTTTACTATTACGTTTAACTGAGTAATTCTAAAAAAAACAACAGTCGTTTGAAACGCGTTTAGTGTTAGGTACTTGATTCTGTATAAGTTTTGATTCAGATAAAAAAAAAGAAACTGCATTGTTTGTTTGTTTGTAATTAAGCACAAAGCTACACAATGGGCTATCTGTGCTCTGCCCACCACGGGTATCGAAAACCGGATTATAGCGTTGTAAGTCCACAGACATACCGCTGTGCCACTGGGGGGCAAAGAAAAGGCAAAAGCAGAGGCGTTGCTAAGCATTGCAACACGGGGCCTGTGATCCTATTTGACAATGCCCCGAATTCCCGGTTGCTGTCTTGAAAAATCAGAACAGAAAACCGTAGTTGATATCATATTAAAATGCCGAAAGTTCCAGAATCTTTTAAGCACCTAGCAACGCTTCTGAGCAAAAGCATTCTCAAGAGAATGATGATTTTATATTAAAATCACGTTAATATGAGACAAATACATAATTTTTGTCTAACAGCTAGTAGAACACCGATTGCTCAAAAAACTTTAGATTATTATATATATATCAAAGGTGTAGGAGGCAAATTATATGGCTGAGGTCCAGGGCTCGTCTTGGGGCCCTGAAAGCTCTTGGATTAAATTTTATGCATTCTCCTGCTTTTCCTAAGAGTAGTTTTCCCTCATTATGACAAGGACAGATTGAAGAGTGAGGGCCCAGGGCCCTACGATTCCTGCGCCACTGTTATGTGAACAATAATTTAAAAATAGCTTAAAAAGAATCAAAAGAGACAAATAAGTTCATGATATTGTACTTACTAATTGTGTTTGATTCTGCTGTCACAGACAAACAAGTTTATGATATTGTACTTACTAATTGTGTTTGATTCTGCTGTCACAGACAAACAAGTTCATGATATTGTACTTACTAATTGTGTTTGATTCTGCTGTCACAGACAAACAAGTTCATGATATTGTACTTACTAATTGTGTTTGATTCTGCTGTCACAGACAAACAAGTTCATGATATTGTACTTACTAATTGTGTTTGATTCTGCTGTCACAACGTTTTTACCGAAAGACGTCAGATTTGCCAGGTGACGACGTGCTATTTCATCGCATCCTTCTCTGTACAAGTACAATACAAATATACTGATATAGCGACTCTGCCTTACTACATTATGTTAGTGAAATTCAAATAATTACATTTACAGCATCGCACTTTATCAATTTCTCCATAGTCTGTGAAAGTTAAAGCTGTTAGATTTCTAAGACTGAGCTGTACTATACTATAAGAATGGAAACAGAAATCAATCAAAGTATTATTCCCTAAGTTCTACATATCTCACAAAAGTATTGCAAAATGGTCACTCGTAGAAAAGTTAACCAATAATCTAAGAATGTCAAATTTTAAGTTGCTATACCTAAACAATCCACGGAAGACACAGAAATAGCTTAAAAGTTGGGGCTACCACGAACATTTTACACATTTATTGTGCTGGTTTAAAGTGGGCTATCATAGGTCGATAAAGTGTAAAAACATATCTGAAATTTGAATATTATAAAAATAATGGTAAAAAAGGGTAGGTGGAAGAGTTTCGGATTAATTGATTGATTGTTTGTTTGTTTTGATTTTCGCGCAAAGCTACACGAGGGCTATCTTCGCTAGCCGACCCTAATTTAGCAGTTTAAGACTAGAGGGAAGGCAGCTAGTCATCACCACCCACCGCCAGCTCTTGGGCTACTCTTTTACCAACGAATAGTGGGATTGACCGTGACATTTATAACACCCCCACGGCTGAAAGGGCGAGCATGTTTGGTGTGACGAGGATTCGAACCCACGCCCCTCAGATTGCGAGTCGAGGGCACTAACAACATGGCCATGCCGGGCCTTGGTTTAATTGACGTATTGTTCAATTTGCTTATATATTTAAAGTTTTGGACACACTTCATTTGCGTGAAGGAGTTTGTTTTCGATATTTTATAGAAATTTGAAGAAAGAATAACAGGATCTTGGTCACTTGTAACTTAGGTCTTTGTAATGTGAAAGTTTAGTTGTTATCAGTTTTCTCTAATTTTATCATACAACATAATTTAGGAATACTGATCGCAACCTGAATCACTCTAAAACTGTTTATTTTGTGGTCACAGAAAATTACTTAAGCAAATTTATCTTATTAAGATTGATATAGCGAAATTAATCAAGAAATCAGTACACAGACCAACCTAGTTTAATGAAATGACGACTTTCTCTATCTGACGGGTTATAAAGTGACGCGTGATTAAAATGTTATCAGGCCGAAAACGTTCAACTACAGCTGTTATTCACACCGATCTTTTTCTTCGACATGTGCATACAATGATAAGAAGTGTAACTTTGCTGGCCCGGACCAGACATGGCTCTTGATTAGCCCTCAAGCCTGGCGCCATTCTGATGTCATCTGGAGATTCCATGTGTATTGTTCTTGTCGTTATCAGTGTGTTGGAGATTGGTAAATACGATCGTTACCAGCTTACCTTACAAAACTAAAAACGCCACCATTTCTTTCTCTCATAGCTCTTTTAATGAAAATTTAGATAATTTTGACTTTCCTCTATTGACAGATTTAATCAATAAATAAAAAGCTAAACTCCTCTGATATGGCCAAACACATTCATACTTTAGTAACCAATAGTACATGGTTAACTTTGTATACAGAAATCAAGCTGAATGACTTACTATATAATTATGTGGTTTGTAAACACTGAATGTCAGCCTATTTTGTAAATTGTTAGTAATAATAGTAATAACTTTCAAATGATTAAAATATATTCAAGAATGATGAATGGTTAAAATAGGATATATTTATTTCCTCTCTCTCTCTTCAAGAGTGATAGAACTGGTTGGTGAATGATGGAGACGAGATAATGACTGAAGTTGTGACTGATTATCGAAGTAATACACCAGAAAACATGGCCACAAGAAGCGATCAAACTGATATTAAACTTAGATACGTAGCAGTAATAGCAGCAATTCTGATAGACACTGGGATCAAAGTTTACCTTTTTGTATAGTGAATATAGTAGATAGAAAATTTTCATTACAAGTAAATTTGCTTAAGCAGTTACTGCTTTTGTTGAACGCTTCGATATTAGAAAATAATCCTCCTCTTGCATTGCAATTCAAATTCAACAAAAACACGTGTAAAACACAAATATATATGTATATACATGTATGATACGTAAAACGATAAATATTTTATGACAAAACTTGGTAATATTCTACATAAAATGGAAATTAAAAACAACTTAATAATTAGCACCAACTTACGAATTTTTCACAGGATCACGAAATCCTTTGGCAAATGGATTGGACGCAATCTTAAGTTTGGTAATCTGAAAAATAAGGTAATGTTTTATTTTTATAATCTATCCTCAAATATATACAAACAATTTTTAAATATAGGTCAGAAATATTATTATTTTAAAATAGAAAACCACCCCTAAACAAATAAGATCATAAAGGTTTTATACATCAATTTGATAATGCATAGTGAAACGAAATATACGAAGACTAGATGGACATTTAAAAAACATGATGGATCTACATATTGTTATTTGTACAGTGTTATAAGAACGTAACAAAGTGTAAAACTTAAACTAAGCTTAAACGTAAAGCGGTGTTTTTACTAGTTACAAATTTGTCGTTTTTAAACACATAGGAATGGTGCAGCTCTAATGACGGAAAATAATATTCTATTAACTAACTTGTAACACTTATTTAGTTGTTAATGTCTTTTCTTCCACAAAAAAAAAACAACAAAAAAAACGTGAATTTCAGTGAAGAAAAGATGACGTAGAGGCTTAATCTGTTATTTGGTTTTGCTACTTCCACTGCAGCAGACAAGTTTTGCTAAATGCACAGCTCAGTATTCTTAGAAAGAGCGAATCAAATAAATAAAGTAGGCCTAATATAGGGCAACTGTGACAGTACTTCACATATTATCCAAATACCTAAAGTACTTTAAATTATTAGTGGTAAGTAAAGGTCTATAAATCATAACCGAACAAACTAAATAGTACACGTTAGTAATAAGTGAGCTTCGTACTTATAAACGTATTAAATATATACGTTACTAGCTGTTTCAATGAATAAACCATTAATACGTATGCTTATTGACGTCCAAACTAATAAAGCACATCCACTTAAACTTAAGAGTGTAATTATAAAGAAATATCAAATTAATACTGGAAGAAGATCTCAAATATTCCACTCTTCCTTGGTCCAAAATGTATTCCTCCAAGCTACATGTCTTGTAGTTTTACAGTTACACTAGCTTTGACCTTAGTTCTGATACAAATGCTAGTTTCACACCTTAACTATTTGTTTTGGATGGTTGTCCCATTGATCACACTAAATTTTCGACAACTAACCTTGCACTAGGATGCCATTTTCTACTTTACTTGCCCCATTTCGTTGTTTATAGTATACTTTTAGTTACTAGCCTTGCACATTGTACCTAATGGATGTCATTTTCTATCTTACCTATTTCTTTGGGTTGTTTTTTTTTCATTGGCTACAATAAATTTTCGACAACTAACCTTGCACTAGGATGCCATTTTCTACTTTACTTGCCCCATTTCGTTGTTTATAGTATACTTTTAGTTACTAGCCTGCACTTTGTACCTAATGGATGTCATTTTCTATCTTACCTATTTCTTTGGGTTGTTTTTTTTCATTGGCTACAATAAATTTTCGACTACTAGCCTTGTACTAGGATGCCATTTTCTACCTTACCTTCTCCATTTCGTTGTTTTTCACCATGGTCACAGTATATATTTGGCTACTGACCTTGCACGTTGTACCTCGTGGATGCCATTTCATACCTTACTAGCTCCTTTTCGATGTTTTTCACCTTGGTTACAGTATATTTTTAGTTGCTAACCTTCCACACTGTACCTAGTGGATGTTATTTTCTATTTTACCTAATTTTTTCGGTTGTTTTTTTACATTGATTACAAAAGATTTTCTACTACTAATCTTGCATGTTGAATTTGTTGGCTATCCTTTTTATATCGTACCCATTTGATTTTATTGTTGTCATTTCAATTATACTAGTTTTTTTTCTCTAATAGCCTTATATATATTAGCCAACATGCTATTCTTTTTTTACTTGTTTGTTTAACCTTCGTATTGGATCTACTAATGTTGCTTTGCCTAAAGTAGTTCGAAAATGTTTAATCTACCTCCTGGTTCTGGTAGGCTGTCACTGTAATAAACACAGTTTCTGGGAAGGAGAACTGAAATGCTATTTTAGTATCAACAGCTTGATCTGGAACAGTAAATGGAGTCTCCACTTTCTGTATGTAGATCAGTGGTTGGTACTTGTGCATTGAGTGAAGAGCAATCTGAAAAAAAATTTGATTTATTATAAGTTACATTATCATATCAGCAGTATATATATATATACCTTATGTACAATTAATATTTTGTACTGATCACTTTTATTTAGAAAATAAAACGAAAAACTGAACAGCTTAGGTGTCTAAATTACAATGCTAATCCGTTTGTTGCGTTTTGTATTTTTATATGGATACATTAAATGGACGCTCATTTAGGCCTCACTGTCTCAAACACACACTTTTAGAACATTTAATTTACTTACATATTCCAAAAATGACATATCATGTTCGTCAGTTGACTAATTGATTCCTATAAAGTTAGATATGTAGTAATGTCATAGTTATTCAGCAAGACAAGGATAAGAACAGAGATCTCTCTCTCATGTCATGGTTGTTCTAAAAGACAAAGGTGAGAACAAGGACCTCTCCCCAACTTCAAAGGTATGTGACAAGTACACATATAACAGGAAAAGTATTACCAATTCTTTGATTGACTGTTGAAAATCATGTCACCTGTGTCTACCAACAGTGGTTATAAAAGAGAGCATATGTGCTGTTAAGAAAAGTTGTGATTGTAACCAGTTAAGGTAGATGTTTGGATAGAATTGTTAACCACACAGATGTCCCAGTTTATCGATTCTTTCCATCGTGATATAGGATTGGATTAATTATAACCGCATCATATAAAAAGATATCATATGGCAACCGGCATCTACTTGTCTCGGGTGTGAAGAGGAAAGGACGGCTTTAGCAAAGTGTGAACAATGAATGATTGTAAGTGTGTGTGAATAATAACTGACGTTACAACCTTTTCTATGCGGGCACAATGAACTTGTCCTTGCTTGTGCTGTATCGAAAAAACTTCAAACTACTAGAAATAGAGTAATGATGAAGAGAACATAATTATCACGAAGGTTCAGTCCTTTGATTCCTATAAGAGCCACATTATAATGTCCACTGTTTAGTTAAACCATGTGTTACTGATTATGGCTGCATTTTTTCCCTGATGGAACAATCCACAGTGCTTTTCTTATTTGAAATGGATTCAAACAGTTTGTTTGTTTGAGAGCAAAGCCACATTGAGCCATTTGCTGTGTTCAACGTGGGAAATCGAATCCAGGATTTTAGCGTTGTAAGTCCATAAAATTACCGCTGTTCTATCGGAGAACGATTCAAACAGCGTGGTCGTGACTTGTAGAACACAATCAACGCATCACATTCAGAATGATCAATCTTGGAATATCGTATTCATTACTTAAACCTTCTGGTAACAAAAGAAAACTCGTAGCAGACTTTAGTTTACTGCAATTGACCTTTGGAATATTGTGTATTCTATACCACGCTCAATCCAGACAAAGTGTCCAACCAAATATTAGATGAAAATAATAAGTCACTAGTTAGTGTACAACAATAACTTAAGACTTAAGTAGTATAATTCTTCTAAATGAAACTACTTATCTGTAACCTAATGTATGTAGTTCTTTTCAACAAACGTGTAACTATAAATTCGGATAATATTAAAGAATGAAGTTCTGCTAATTCAAACTCTGAGATAACGTACTTGGCCTTTTTCAGTTGTCTGTTTACTATTAGTCAACTTGAGCTTATCGAAGTTCACAATTCGCGCCATTAAGTGATAGCCTTTAGCAGGAATGTCAGGATGTAAGTAGCGATTGGTGGGTAGAGGAACATCACCAGCTCCTGCAATCATCCACTGGGAGCTGTTACACGGAAAAACAGAATATTTTTATTTGCACATCCCATGAATACTTTGTTAAATGTTAAATCGATTTTTTTACTATGGTCATCTTAAGATGAATAAGCATATATTTCAGCGTATAATCTCTTGTTTGATTATTATTATTATAAATTATAGAATACACAACATTATATATAATCTGAATAATTCAAAAAACAATTTTTATGCACTAAACTGTTTCCATCGTTGTTATCACGTTTCTACAAGATTTCCGCGTCTTGGTGTAGATACACAATAGAGTAGTTTCACCCACTGAACGTAGAACGTTTTCTACGTTATAATATAGATACACAATGCAGTAGTTTCATCCATTAAACGTAGAAAACTTTCTACGTCTTGGTGTAGATACACAATGAAGTAGTTTTACCGACTAAACATAGAAAACTTTCTACGTTATAATATAGATACACAATGCAGTAGTTTCGTCCACTAAACGTAGAAACTTTCTACGTTCTAATATAGATACATAATGCAGTAGTTTCATCCACTAAACGTAGAAAACTTGCTACGTTCTAATATAGATACAATATAAAGTAGTTTCATCCGCTAATCGTAGAAAAGTTAAATATACAAACAACTGAGTAACTGTGTTTAAAATACAATGTCTTAGAAAACTAGACAAAAATAAAATAGTTTAATCTTTGATAATTTATCATAGAGTTGAAAGAATTAGCATATTGAGATTTAAGAAACTTTTTATCAAAAATGTACACGGATAAATAGTGATATATATTCGTTTGGTTTTATGTAGTCATTAAATATTAGGATTCTTAATCTTACTGGCATTCTGGACATGTCATAAAAGTGCGAAGATATAAAAGAGTTATCTACCTAGGATACACGTATCTGTATCGATTGTTATCCACAGCAGTGATTTCTACCCAAATCAGATAGTAGCCATCTGGATCCAAACCCGTGACATTGACTTTCAAGGCCGGAAACATCCTCCTGTATTTAGAGAATGTGTGCTTTTTTAAAATAAGTATTTCATTGAAATAACTACTGTATTGCTAGAGGTATTAAGTACGACATGTATTAATAATAAGACAAGCATTACGAAGTTCTAAAGGGTAATATATATGTAGCTAATTGCTATTCTTTGGTTAGAGAAAACGAACGTTCATTAAACATATTGTTACGTCTCTGGTCGTTTGTTAATTTCCCGTATAATTTTTTTCGGATGAAACTTTAGCGATACAAGTCCTTTCTTAAATAAAACTTGTTTATTCTTTCTCAATACAACTTTGCAATACACTTAATTTCTACAGTCACGTTAATTTAAACCCACGCTATAATTCACAACGATTCATGCACTTTACTTACGGTCACTACCGAGCTTGACTCAGTTGTCCGTCTCTATCTCTTTTAATTGTCTCGCTTTATCTGGCGCGCTTATATACAGGAATAGAGGGCGTCTAGCAAATAATGGATTATTCGCGACGTTCCCCGATCCTTCAAGAAACTCATTACGTATTACCAGCGTCACGTGACTTTCGCTATCGTAACAATATTCATGCGTCTCCGCTTATGAAGAATGCTCATATAAATATACAATTAGATACATCCTACAGTATAACTTTGAATTTTGAACGAAAATAGTTAATATGGGGTTCAACGATGAAGTATTTATAGATAACCCAGATGGGAATGTTGATTTGTGTTTGGAATTAGTATTTGATGAAAATCGATTAATAAACGGATTAAATAAACAAACAAATAAAAATATAACTCATATTCGCAGCTAAGAATATTTTTATTAATTTAACGGAGAATCTTATGAACAAACAGACGGAGCTAGGGTAGGTTGGTGTTTATTCCCTGTCATAGCTAATGTTTTTGTGTGTTTATGTATAAAAATGGCTAAATGACTGTCCTTCTCAGTTTAAACCATTTGTTTAGAACTGTTATGTAGATAACGTATTTGTAGCATTTAAAAATGAAGAACAGAAATGGACAGCCTCGTGTACAACGAAATTGAAACGTTTGACACTGGAGTATATCATATATCAACGTACAGACTACATTCACACTAATCTAATCAAGTATCTTGTATACCGTGTTTACTAACATGTATGAGCTTTTCCAACAAGAACTGAATAACTTAGCACTAGTTTTCAAAGTGAACTGTTTTCCAGAACGTTTTATCATTTAATATAGAGAAAATAATAAAACAATTTTCTATTCCTTCGTAATCAAATTTTGATGTCCCAAGACTGCCAGTATTCATAAGTTTACCGTATAGTGGTGTTTACTTCATTCAAATAAAAAAGAAATTGAAGGCATGGCCGGATTAATAAACTTTGTGGAACTGGATACAGGCAACCTGAAAACATGGCTGGATTAAGAAATTTTGTAGTACTGGGTACAGAAAACATGAAGACAGGGCCAGATTAAGAAACACTGTGGTACTGTGTACAGACAATCTGAAGGCAGGGCTGAATTAAGAAACTTTTGTGTTACTGGGTACACACAACCTGAAGGCCCTAAAAACTCACAATTGATGAGTACGTTTCTATCATTGTAAATTGTGCAATAGTTTTCATTATTTTTTCTTATAAGTACTAAAATAGGAAACGAAATAATGTGTCACTCCCGAGTAGCTAAATTACATTTCTTAAATTTTATTACATATTCGTATGCAAACTAAAATATTTTCTGCTGTACAAAACAAAACAAAATCCATAATGCCTGAGTATTAGAATGTAGTTTTTTTACTGTTATTTGAATCTAGATTTTTACTTCCGAGTAAAAGGGGATTTTTAAAATTAAGACATAACGACATGCAGTAATTGTGCGCTATTTTTACTATTTTATTTTAGAAAAAGATCTAAATCATTCCCGTTAGCTTTGATTATATTAGAAACGGTTATGTTCACAGTATGCTTGCTTTGCTAAACCGTGTCTTTGGTTAAACATATTGACTGAACTTAACAACGAAAAAGCTTTCCCAGAGACCCTTGTTTTAATACAGCCCTTAATGAAAGTCATAACAAGAAGAGTTTCTCCACAAATCGAACTAAAACTTATATTTAAACCTGTCGCTTTGATTAAAAAATTCCTCATTTAAGGGTAAGATTTGTCCTCAATGATTCTGTGTGAGTTATGAATTCCGTTGACCAACTTTATTGAAGCCGTATTGCTCCACTTTAAATTATCACACTACAAGTACATGTTTCGACGTAATCAACGTCATCCTCAGGAGTAACTTACAAGACTACTTGTATTTGTAGAGCGATATTTTAAAGTTTTTATTGTGTAAATATAAAATGTTGTTTTTAATTATTTATTATAATTATTTAAAAAAAGTTCAAGTATTGTTTCAATATGCGCTAGCCGACTAGGATGTGGTGGTGTCTCAATACATGCTCAAGATGCAGAGAATGAATTTTGTTTTGTTCTTAAGCATAAAGCAACACAATGAGCTATCTGTGCTGTGCCCACCGCGAATATCGAAACCGAATTTTAGCTTTGTAAACACACACACACTTTACCGGTAATTTGAGGTATTTTAATAATAGCATCTAATTGGACAGTTAGGAGATATAGTATACTAGGGTACAGCCCGTCAAACATTACGGGGCAAGTACTACCACCCCATCCCTAATCTCACATCTCATAGCTAACTGAAATAGATAAATTTTGCGAAATCAAGCTTGACCAACAAAGAGGCAGAAAAGAACAGTCGAGGCAGCCAAACGTCGGTAAATTCCTTTGTGAGCCAATCAAAATTAAGATTATTCATGAAATGAATTCGTGGCTATCCATAGGTTAATTATGGGTAAAAATCAGTTAGGTTAAAAACTTCTATATAATATAAACATTTACCTTATTACTGCTAATTTTGTCTTTTGGCCCGGCATGGCCAGGTGGATAAGGCGCTCGACTCACAATCTGAAGGTCGCGGGTTCGAATCCGCATCCCACCAAACATGCTCGCCCTTTCAGCCGTGGGGGCGTTATAATTTGACGGTCAATCCCACTATTCGTTGGTAAAAGAGTAGTCCAAGAGTTGGCGGTGGGTGGTGATGACTAGCTGCCTTCCCTCTAGTCTTACAGTGCTTAATTAGGGACGGCTAGCGCAGATAGCCCTCGTGTAGCTTTGCGCGAAATTCCAAAAACAAACAAACAAACATTTTGTCTTTTACTTATCTTCTGCTATGAGATATTTAATTATTCTCAAACTAACGATTCGCAACGCATTTAGTCTGACGTGTTAGGAAATACAATAGAGACATTTAGCTCGAGGTTTTAACTTCACTAATAAAAGAATATAAACCGACACTTTGCAACGCAGATAAATACATTTAGCTTGAGATTTTAGCTTCACTAATAAGGGTAAATAACCCAAAACATAGCAACACAGATAAAAACATTTAGCTCGAGATATTAACTTCACCAATAGTACTGTATACCTTAGCAATACAGGAACATTTAGGTCGAGATTTTAACTTCACTAATAGAAGTGTATAACCCGAAGAAAGCAGAGGGTTGTTATAAATGGAGTTCAGTCAAACTATATAAAGGTCACAAATTCTCAGGGCTCAGTGTTAAGGCTTTTATTCTTTTTTTATTTACATCAATAACTTAGATAAATAAATGGTCAATAAATTAATCGAATTTGCTGGTGATATTATAGTTTTGGTTGTTGCTGGCTGTGAGAAGGAGGATGCTGCTTTACAAATGGATTTAGATTATTTGATCAGTTGGGTGAATAAATGACAAATTAATTTTAATTATAATAAATACACGTGGGATATCATAATTTGAATAATAAGTACAATTTTGATGAGAATAACCTTTAGAGTATTATGGAAGAAAAGAATCTTGATGTTCTAGTTTATCAATCTATTAAGCTAATCCAGGTAATGTGCTGTTGCTAGTGGTAGGACAAATATGATTTTAGGATGCATCAACAAAATTATTGAATTAAGATTAAAGAGGTTATAATTAAATGATATAGGCCGTTGGTTAGGCCACGTTTGGAATATTGTGTTCAGTCTTGGGTGCCTTGTCTCAGGAAAGACACTGAATTGTTGAAAAGGTTGGGGGAGGGCTACTAGAGTGATACCTGGGGTAGAAAGGTTGACATACGAGGACAGCTTAAGATCTCTGAACTTCTTTTCTCTTGAAAACGGAAAAAGTCAGAGAGGACCTGGTTGAGGTGTTTAAGATTGTTAAGGGAATTGAAAATGATGGTGCATCATTGTTTCATACTTATGGTAAGAATGGTAGAAGTTGGGGACACAAAAAATTTCGTCAGATTAGGAGTCATCTTCAGCTAGGACAGTTTTATTTTTCTAACAGGGTGGTTGGCCTTTGGAATTTATTGCCTTCAGATGGTAGATGCAATTAACTTAAGGGAGTTTAAAGGGAAGCTTGATTAATATTTGAATGATAATGACTGACTTTGAGTGTTTTATTTTCATTTCAAAGTTTAGTTTAGAGGATGGAATGGCCTAAATGGATCAGTAAGTCACTTATTGTCCTTAAATTATATGTATATACAAGGATGGGATAACCTAAATGGAGCAATAAGTCCCTTGTTGTCCTTAATTCTATATGTATATACAAGGATGGGATCACCTAAATGGTTCAATAAGTCTCTTGTTGTCCTTAAAATATATGTGTATATAAGGATAAGATGACCTAAATGAATCAATAAGTTTCTTGTTGTCCTTAAATTATATGTGTATATATATATATATAAGGATGGGATGACCTAAATGGATCAATAAATCCCTTATTGTCCTTAAATTACATGTATACATAAGGATGGGATGACCTAAATGGTTCAATAAGTCCCTTGTTGTCCTTAAATTATATGTGTATATAAGGATAGGATGACCTAAATGAATAAGTAAGTCCCTTGTTGTCCTTAAATTATATGTATATATATAAGGAGGGAAGACCTAAATGGATCAATAAGTCCCTTATTGTCCTTAAATTACATGTATGGATGGGATGACCTAAATGAATCAATAAGTCCCTTGTTGTCCTTAAATTATATGTATATATATAAGGAGGGAAGACCTAAATGGATCAATAAGTCCCTTATTGTCCTTAAATTATATGTATATGTGCCCAGGGAGCACAGTGTCAGTATGAAAATAATATTACAAATATCCTTAGAATTAGTTTCCTTACCTTCCAGCTTTCGTAATAATCATTTCGTTTCCAAGACCGTGAAACTGATTCCATAACTCTTTTTGACATAACTGAACTTGGATGCCTGTTTCCACCCCTTGCTTATTTCTGCTGGCTTGTTGGGTCTCATTGCTACCGAGCAACCACGGCGAGTGTCCTCGTGAAATTGATATATTATTTTCCTGTGGTGAAAATGGTCGATGACAATCTTCATCCGCCGTCAGATTTTCTTCAAGCAAGAAATTGGTTGAAAGTTTGAGAAACTTAATAGCAAATGTTATAAGCAGCCTTTTGTAAGCAAAAATATTCTAGCAGATAGCCTAATGTCGCTTTGCTATAAAAATAAAGTCGTGTAAAATATACGTATTCAACGTGTATTGCTGTAAAAGCCCGCTGTTTCTCTCATCGTAGTTTGAAGGTATGATATGTGAATATATCGCTTAGTAAATAGTTATGTAATTGTTTTAGAAAGAGTTAATTAAAATGAATAAGGAATAAAGTACTGAAGGTACCAAGTTTCGTGTGAATTTGTTAACGTTATTTCTCATTTACAACTAGATGACATTTCAGTAAGACAGAAAAATATCTAAAAATGCAATCCTCATTTAGTGTGTATAAAGTCATCTCTCCAAGATTAAAAAAACTGTGTGGATATATCACTGTTTCATTTTAGGTCAATGTCTCACTGAGCTGAATGTCGCTTGAACAAAATATGGTGTTTATAAACATTTTGGGTCTACAATTTGTAAATTAAGTAACTATAGACGAGCAAACAGGCTTTTGTTGTTATTTTAGTTAACAACTACGTGAGAACTCTTGTGAGTTGCGTACGAAATTTTTTGATTGTGGCATTTTATATTTGAGTGTACAAAGTTTATAAAATTTAAAAGGGGTGCTGTGTTCTTAAAGTAATTAAAACAGTTAAGTGATCTGCCTAGACTGCTTACGTATAATTATGGTTATGTGCATAGAGTTCTGTGTGGAGCGACTCATTGACTCTGAGGTTAAACCTAAGTGGGTTAAGTCTATTACACAACACGTGATACACACCAAACCTTCTAGTGCAGAAGACAATTTGAGTCGAATGCTCTGATCGAAAATGACAAACCGATCAAGTAAGACATACCAGATCTCGAAACCAGGGTATTGGGAGCAAGTATTCAAACTCAACAGAGTTACGGTACCTGTACTTTAAGTGTATATAAACAAAGAAAGAAATACACACACAAAACACCTTGACACATAAACACTGCTCTGAATGCTGGAAGATTCGTTCCCCAAGTACCTTTCCAATGTACTTCACCCACCCGTCTCTTACACATATGGTGACATTATCCGTATTTCTCTCCTTCTGCATAGTTTAATGAAGTTTAAAAAGCTTCCCACGCACGCACACACGTTACTATTCTAATTAATAGATAGATAAGCAAACAGGCTTTTATTATTGTTCAGTTTACTCATGTACATTAAATGATACGGAATTTCTTAGCCATTTTATCCTTTGAAATTTAGAATATTTTAAACGAACATTTTTAACCATTTTAACTTGTGAACTTTAGAAACCATTAAGCGATTTTATTCAACTTTGTCAGACACTATATATTACTATTAGAAATGTGGTCACTTATTGAGTCGTAAGAAAATTTGCCCACTTTTATCAACACTGGGCTTCATTAAGTACACAATCTGAGGGTCGCGGGTTCGAATCCGCATACCACCAAACATGCTCGCCCTTTCAGCCGGGGGGGCGTT